ACAAAATTCAAAACCAACAGTTCTGACAAGTACCTTGAGAATTCACTAAGAATTGTGACCACTTCAACATCGATAGATTAGTTTTACAAAAACAAGCTCAAATTTCCCACTAGTTTTATATTGTTCTCATTTTTCTAAACTTTATTTTAAAAAGAAGTCTTATTATGTATACACACTAACTATATTATATAATTTATGTGCAGCCCAAGACAATTCCTCTTTACTTGATGCGGCCCAGGGAAACCAAAAGGTTGGATACCCCTGCTCAAAGGCTTGGAACAGAGGTGCTTTGTTAGTCTTCCTCCTGAGAATAATGACAAAGTAATGGTTATATACAGTAAGAGTAATAGGATGGGAGAGTACCTATAAAAAATAGTGCTTAAAAATGCATAAAATAACACAAAACAGTTCATGTTTGATAAAAGCCAAAGTGTAAGTCTTAACAGTTAAAGAAAAAGCAGATGAAACTCTGAAATGATCAACAGGTGTCACACACGGATTAATAAAAATCAATATTCAGAAGATGTGAGTCAAATATGTCAATGCAATAATTCTGTCTTTATTGTCAGTCATCACTTGAAGTATTTTACTAGTGTTCTTCTCTGTGTAGAGTGAGAATTTAACCAAAGTAATACAATTCCATTTCTATTGACTTTACTTTGGAGTTAAAATGACTCAAATTACTAAAATAAAATCAAGCTGTTTTATTCATGGCAAGGCAAAGTTATCTTCCTTTGGAATATCTTCTAGAGATGATGAAGTGATGTATAAAGACCTGTGCTGCAAAATGTATTTACCATGGACGAAAACTCCAAATTACTAGAAAAATTCAATTTGAAGTAGAAAATACATGCTGTTGGATTCTTTATGGAACAGTAACACACCACTGAATAGAATGTGATTTTACACAGCATTGAATATGCTCTTAGAAAGATAATTTTGTAAACACACTTGGGAGAATATAATTTGAATACAAATGTACTCTTATTTAGCATCTTACAGTTTTTATGAATTTCAAACATATCAGAAAGATCACTTGGTGAATTGAGAGTGAAATATATTTGTCTATTCTGTAAGATAGAGAAGTCCAGTAAAGGACTCCCAATTTATAGTCTCAGATTCTAAACTAAGTATATGTCTTTGGCTGAAGGGGCTTCTCTTGGAATATGGTGTGTGGTTCTGGGTATGACACATACACATGTGAGAACACCTGGAAGGGAACAACTGAGATCTTTTATGATGGGACACTGAGTGAATTGGAGAAACTGAATACTGGATGAGGATGCTGGAAGAATATTTGAAGAGGAGTTTGTCAGTATGGCCCAAGGAATAACACTAGAACCAACAATGAATAAATTAAGCTGTAATTTATGAAAAACAAACATCAGTTGAGTGTTCAAAAAAAAACTCAAATAGAGGATCCCAAAAATGGAATTGATGACTTCAAGAGATAGTAACTTTCCCATTTCTAGAATGTACATAAGCAACTATTTGGAGAGATAGCAATCTGAATTCTGAAGAGATATGAGGTTATAAATAAATAATCAATGACATTAAAATTCTCTATAGTAAAAGTGAAAGTAAACTATACAAATAACTGGATATACTGAAGAAACATTGACAAAAAGTGTCCTAAGATTTCTAACAATTACACATGAATATCTAATTCTGATGTATAAAAACATCAAAACACAATAGATATATGAACATAGGACACAAGTAGACAATTCACACATGATGTAATTTAAACAACCGGAAATGTTTAACCTCACAGTTATTTAAAGAAATTCAAAGTAAAACAGAAATGTACCATTTTACACCTATAAAATAAACATAAACACAATAGAGGACAAAAGCTAAGTTGATAATATTCAATGGTGACCAGGTTTTTGAAAACTAACTTCATACATTACTAATGGCATTTTACACTGGTATAGCTTTTAGACAGGTAATAAAACAATTAAATCACACTATACAGAACAGTTCATAACTTGCTTTTAAATCTATTCTTGACAATATTGTCAAAGGAAATAACTTAAATAAGAATGACAGCAGCATCTGTAGTAGCGAAAAAGTTAGAAGGAAATAAACTATGTTTACAACAAATTGATGCAATATTTACCAGTCATTAAAATTTTATGAACATCTTATAATTTTATTGTAACAATTGTTTATAATAAAATACTATGGTAGCGATAAAATGATACTTACCATGACACCAACAATGTGAAATGTGTAGGCATGCTAGTAAAGAGTAGAGAAAATAAAAACAGTAGCACAGGTAGTGAAAGTATGAGTTTTTTCCTTTGTAACTTGTCTTTACGTAGGTATTATTTTATTTATTTAAATAGACAATTAGGAACAGAAACCATTTTAACATTACTGTGTTTACTTTTTCCAGACATTCATAAAGGCATAGTGAAAAAGCTAACTGGCTTAGTTTGAGGAATAGAAATATATTCAGAATACATTTATATGTGTGTTAAATATAAATTTATAAAATGGAAATATAAATATTAATAAACACTCAATCCATCTGTAAAAGTATTTTCTTGAATGTCAGAAATAGTAATAATATGAAATATTTGAATATATGGCACAGTAAGGTATTAGCAATATAGTTATACATCTGTATACCTGGAACACCTCTTCCACTTCTTAGAGATAATCAGTAGCCTAATTTGTTGTTTATTATTCCCATGCAAGTCTAAATACTTAAAGGTACATATGTATATCCCTATACAACACATGGGTTGTTTTTCACATTTTCATATTGTATATGAATGCCTTGGTATGCATGTAGATTCAGCATCTTGATATTTTTTTCTAAACATTTCTGGGACTCATCCATATGGTATGTGTAGTTTTATTCATTTTTATTAGAGTATTCAGACATATACTGAATATACATATAAACATACCACATTTTGTTTATCAATGACCCTTGACATTAACCAGTCTTTTGTTATTTAAAAAAACACTTGACATTAACCAGTCTTTTGTTATTTAAAATAATACTGTTAGGAACATCGTTTAAACATATTATTGCACATGTATATGATAACTTTTCCACATCAGTTCTTTTCAACCCAACATTTTACAATAGGAATGTTCATTGTGCGGCTCCATATGGTAGCCACTCTTCAGAGTGGCTCTTGAGTCCTTGGAATGTGGCTTATGCAACTGCGGGACTGAATTGTTATTTAATTTCAGTTCATTTAAATGTAATAACTACAAATGACCAATGGCTACTGTATTGGACAGTGCAGCTCTATATCATATTCTTAGGGGTACATGTTGGATCGTGAGGGGTGTACATCCTCAACTTTACATATTGCAAAACTGCCCTCCAAAGTGGTTTGGAAGTGTGTGTAGTGTAAAATACCACTACTGGTGTGCAAGAGTTCCTGTTGTTTCACATGCTCACCTATACTTGGTGTTATCCTTCTTCTTTTGGGGGGGGGGTTTAACCTTTATTTTTTAAAAAACCAAACCACTAGGAAAATATATCACAGCCTGGATACAGCAAACAGACAGGTTCTGTCAAGTAATAAGTTGGTAAAAAGACAAGTTGCTATCAAAATGATAAGGTACCACGCTGGCCATATTGCAACATGCAACACTGCATGTTGCAAAGGCCTCAGGCAAAAATGGTATTTGGTAATAGGGGGGCTGTCCCTCCTCTGTTCTAAGGGAGTCACTGCTTGTCCTAGTCCAAATTGTTTTCTTTTTCTCTCTTGAATTTGCCATTGCTTGGCAATTGTCTCAATACAGTTGTGTTAATTCAGGGGGCTGGGTTAGCCCAACTGGGTTTAGGCTTTCATTTCATTCTGTTTGATAAAAAACAGGTTTTTTCAAATCTGATACTTCACAACTCACATATAATTGAGTAGACAACAGTTCTTCTTTTACTGTTCATTCCCAGATACTGATCTATATCACAACCAAAACACCAATTCTCTTCAATGTGGCAATGGTTACTGCCAGACTGTCCTGTAACTCTGCTACAGACAGCCTCTGGGCCCACTGGCCAGTAAGAGGAAAGCACTGTTTCCTATCATCAGTGTGATATTGTCTCTCATGTTTTTGCATGGTCTCCAGGCAGAATGATGTCATGCGTGGTAATTTTAAGAAATTCACATGTACACCTGATGACCGGAAAAGAATATCCACAGGGAACTTTTCAAAATTCTTAGCCTAATACCTCTCCTTCCCAACTCCTCATCTGAAATCAACTTCATGCCCTTGTAGAAATCAAACCAAAACAAACCAAAGACCCAGAAACCCTCTCTCCTTTCTAAAATAGTGACTTCATGGATTTGGTTTTACAGCATATGGAAAATGGTGTGGTGACACTTCTGGTAAACAGCTTGGCAACAAACCATAACACCTCGAAACCTACCAGATCATAAGCAGGTTAGAGGAACCTACCTGCCTATTGGTACCTGTGCAGTAAGAAGAATTTGGTACCTTGGAGGGCTCTGGCTTGTACAAGGGAGATCCCTACTGCCAGGACAAGCACTTGCCACATATGATACAGGTTCCAGATACTCTAACCCAAATTTTAGCACCAGTGTTTTTCCACTTCACTTTTTATGATGGAAACATAAAGGAACCAGTGTCCAGAGGCAAGTGACATATGCCTTTAGCTTGTTGTCATCCTTAATTTCTTCATTCATAAAACTCTGCTTTAAAAGACAACAATTTCCATTCCTTCTAAAAAACAGATTCTTGCCTTCAGCCCCAACGATCGCTGGCAAAGACTCTTATTTCCCAATGGACGAGAGAGACTCCTTCATCCCCCTGGTCATAATCGGGATGAGTGCATGTGGTCATCCACACACCTGGCCACACAACTGTCCAGCTGCTGCTTCGCCTGAAGCTCCTTGCTCCCTGCATCTATGGAATCTTTGGCTTTGTCGTTGCAATGCATGGTGCACCGGGCCAGGTGGTCCTGGAACTTCTCCAGCTCATTGATCACCAAGGCCTGGGCTTGGACTAGAGGTGCATGGCAGCACTCAATGCACTGGTGCACCTGCTGCATGGACGCCTGGTTGTCATCACAACAGCTGGTGCTGCACCAGAACATGAGGCCCTGCATCTTCCGGATGTTCTCTCTCTCCAGACTTTTCACCATGGCGTCCACCACCTCCTGCACCCAGAGCTGCTGCAGCTCCGCCATGGCGACCCCCTATCCTTCTTTTTAATTTTGTCGTTTTCCCCCATTTGTGCCATTGTGGTTTTAATATACACTTACCTGATTACCAGTAAACTCAAGCAAATTTGTATATGCGTATTAGTCATTTTAGAGTTACCTTTCTTGTAAAATAACTAAATGTCTTCTGACCATTTTTTCTATTCCTCTTTTTAGGAGTTCTATATATGCTAGTTACCAACATTTTGTGATTATATTTGTTATTCTCTTTTCTAGTCTGTGATCTGTCTTTCCCCCTACTTCATTTAGTAGAATTTAACTGATTTTATGATATATGCTTTTTAAGTCTATTTTTAAAATATCCTGAAGCCAACAAAATATTCCTTTTTTTCCCATAAGTTCATTTTACTTTTCATACTTGGTCTTTCATCTGTGTAGTTGTTTTGTATAAAATAAGGATAAATGTTTATGCTGTCTTCCTATACCCAGTTTTCATAGCCTCACTTCCTCAATGTAACTTCCATCTCATATCAAGTATCCCTAAATGCGTGGGATTATTTCTGAGATCTTGATGCTATGTATTCATCTGTTATCCAGCTTGTTTATTCCTACAGCAATGATTCAATTCCTATAACTTTTTACCTTCTTAACCCATGGTAAATCAAATCTTTCCTGTCCCCAAATATAATTCTCTCTCAAAATATTCTTGCCTATTCTTGGCCATTTGTTTTTCTACAATAGTTTACAATCACCATAAAATAGCTTTTTTAAAATTACAACTACTAGGGAAATTAAACATTTTTGTGACATTTAGTCTCTCTAACATTTCTTCTTTTAATTGGAAATTCTTTAGTGTGAAATTCCTTTGGTTCTTACTTCTCACTATTACCATCTAGTTCAAAACTCTATCATGTCTGAAATTGTGTGGTATGACTATTTCTTCTGCCTCTATGCTCACCCACTCCCAACTTTGTCAATTCTCCACATAGTAGCTAAAGGGATACTTTTACCTGTCAGATTATAGCACAGATATGCTCAAAACACTCCAATTCTTTCCATGCCTCTAAGAATTAAAGCTCAAAACTCTAACCATTGCCTAGGAGGACCTCGTCACCAGCCACTCTTTCTACCTTGTCTAGAAGTTTCAGTTTCCTCACTCCACTAATGTCATACATAAGTGTGCTCCCACTTCAGACCTGTGCATACAGTTCCCTCTGCTTGTAATTCTTTCCCTCCAGGTATGCAGATGGCTCACTCCTTTACTTCATTCAAATATTTGCTCCAGTGACAACTGTAGAGAAGACTTTCTGCCTACCCTACCTAAACTATCACCCCACCTATAGCACTACCCCAGCCCCAAGTATTTTTTTCATACTTCCTGCCATAGCAGCTATTTATTTGTTAATCTTCTCCCTCCTTAGGATGTGTACTTCATAAGACAGTCATAAGTGAAAGCTTATGCTCTGTACTATATTCAATGTGTTACTTGCACCCTCCCCTCTGTGGTGACTCTTGCAGTGAGCTTGGTGCTTTGTGTAGGCTCTTCACACAATGCCAGAACAGTGCCTGGGGTATGGTAGGTCCTCAAAAAGATTTGTTGATTATGAGTTTACATTTTCTTCATAGCATCATACATCTCTTTCAATCATTTTATCCCTAGTTTTTTAGAAAATCCCTATATTTTTTAGAAAATTACATTTTCTATTTTACCCTCTTTCCCTCTGTGTGACTGTGACATTGTGAAAGAGAAAGACAATTACTAAAAAAACAAACTAGCCGGGCTTGGTGGCTCAGCCTGTAATCCCGCGCCTTTGGGAGGCTGAGGTGAGTGGATTGCCTGAGCCCGCGGGTTCGAGACCCGCCTGGGCAGCGAGACCTCATCTCTACAATAAATCAAAAAATCAGCCGGGCTTGGTAGCACATGCCTGTAATTCCGGCTACTTGGAAGGCTGAGGCAGAAGGATAACCGGAGCCCAGCAGGTCGAGGCTGCAGTGGCCGGGAGCGGACACTGCACTCCAGCCTGGGTGACCCAGTGAGACTCCAACTCAAAAACAAAAACAAAAAACAAAAATAAAAAAACAAACCGAGTATCATTTCTGCTTTTAAATAAAGTCACATTCTTATTCCAGACTGTTTTTTCTCAAGCACCTAATGGTGAAGACAAATAGGAAAGCATGTTTTAAATACTTAGTTACATTTAAATTTAAATATATTGGTGGCAACAGTAATATATTGTGCCATCCGCCACTTAGAATAAAGAAGAATTTGAGGATATGCAAACAGTTTCTATGAGCAATGATTTAATCCCAGTACAAAGACAAAAGGTTTAGAGGAGTTGTCCCATTCTCCTGGCAATTAGAAGGAACACAAGAAACTGCAACTCAGATTATCTTGTTCCAAACTCCTCCAATGGATCTATTCTCTGCCAATTTATGTCACCACAGATGCACAGCCACTATAATAACCCCAGGCATTCCTGCTTTTCTACCTGCAGGTCTATTAAGTAAGGGCAATTACTCTGCAAAGAGGTGACAAGTTCGTTGTGAAAGATATTGAATTCCAGGGTGGAAAACAGTGCAATAATGAAAGGTCAGAAAGACCACAAGGAGCCAAGTTTACTTTAACAACCACTGCAGTGGGAAGGGTGGAGTTGTACAGGGAACAAAGTGTGTGCGGAGCATAGCGTTCATCTACTGTCTTCAGGGTTGCTTTTGGCACGAATCTCTCAGAGATCAATTTGCTATTGTGCCAAGAACACCCTACATTAGAAAAAATAAAAAGTCTAGCTCTAAAAACAAGTTGATATCACCATTGATTAAGCTAACTAGATCAACAGGAATGGAATCATGCAGCTGTCCATGAGATCTACTGACCTTCAGAGGAGGTACTAACTAGTCAGCAATGTGGAGCTTTGATAGATGAGGTCATGTTTAGTGAACTGAAGTTCATCTTTTATTCAGTACATGTAACTTCAGCTTTGTTCAACTGAATAACTTCAGTTACTCCAACACACGAGTATTGACTGCTGTTTTAGAGCTTTGATATACCATTCGTTTTGTAATGGCAATTACAGGGTGTCTCAACTTTGACTATAGATAACCAAGTTATTAGGAGGATGAGAGATTCCATAATACTTCAGCATAATTGAACAAACCCATGACTCTCTTTACCAGTGTGTAAGGCAAAATGAAAAGGCAATATGGCAGTCTTTTAAAAAAGGAGATAAATCAGCAAAGTATCATAGTTAAAAGTTCTTGTGCTTTTTGTTTTCAGAAAAGGAAATGTAATAAATGTTATTTTCACCAAGGTCTGCCCTGAAAGGAGTCAAGCAACCTCAAATTAAATTCTTGCTTCTTAGTTCTCACTTTCCAGTACTGTTGGCATAACACAACCATGACATTCTGCCAATTATCACAGAGACTGAGAAAAAGGGTATTAACCATCTCCTTTTCAAGGAACAAAGTTCTTAAGAAACAATTGATTACTGCTACTGGGGTCTGCAGATAAAACAATTCTCCTGGGGATCTACTATTTATGCAGTAAACCTTGAAGGGAAAAAAATCAATCTGAACACATTTATTGCTTTATTGGTCCTTAAAAGATCACACTCTTGTTTTTTCCTTCTTTTCTTCTCAACATCATAAGACTTTTCTTTCATTCAGTGGTCTATAGAAATCAGGAGGCTGAAAGCCATCAATATGCTCATAGGATTTGGAATATAAAAATCGAGCCTTGGTTCTCTTTCCAGAAAGACACAGTGTATCTAAATAATGGCTATATATGTAAATGGTTGTGTGTACACACACACACACACACACACACACACACACACAATTTTTTACTCTCCTCCTAAAAATGAGTAAAACATTTTTTCAGGGAGACTTAAAATGAAATCTCAAACCTATATTAGGAAAATAAATCACATGGAAAAACTTCAAATTAACAGATAGCCTCTTGGAAACTAAACTGCTATTTAACATTATGGATAAAAAATAAACTTCATGCTCTGCTGAAATTTTAAATTAAATGTAAAAAGGCTGCAGAAAAAAATATTTATGATAAACTCAGGGGATATAGAGAGATCCTTGAATTTACACAGTCAATAAATACTACACATGTCAAAGTATTAAGACATTTATAAATTATCTTTCAGGTTTACTCGTGCTAGGTTGTTTCCATAGCAATAGTGAGAGGATAATTAAAAGTCACTAATAATTTCTGCAGCTTGTGGTAGTCATCTCCTATCCATTTCCACTATTTAAAGAAAAATGCCTTTATGCAACTAAAATTAATTTGATAATACCTGCATTTCTTTTTCACCCTAGTGCAAAACGTAAGCACAGGGCAGTATCGGATTAACATCTTTTATTGGGTTTCAGCCTATTTCTTCCCCTTCCCCAATTCTAGTGCATCAAAAAATTAAAATTTGCTATCACAATCTCCCCTAACATTGAAAGTCTTTAATTTTTATATCAAAATGTAAAGGACCAATTCTTGAAGACATTCTCAACCCTTGCATATGCTCTCCTTATGTGTATCAGTCAGAGTCCTGGCAGGAAACAGATGGTACACTCAAGCTGGCTAACTAAATAATTTTAAATGGACCATTTATAAAGATGCAGCTGGAAATAGAGAAGCCAAGAAGAAATGGAGCAGGTATCTCCCAAGGACAGAATAGGCAAAGTTGTTACTATCCCTAAGCCAGAAGATGCAAATAGAAGTTATCAGAAACTGGGCAGTGTGGTTGAACAAAGAGGGCCACGTGGCAGGAGATATACCCCTCTGTAAGGTGATACAGCCAGTCATGGTAGTGACCTGGCAGAAAAGGAGTCAGCAGAATAGATATCCACAACTTATCGCCTCCTGATACGCCATCAGTGTTCCCTACCACAGTATAATTGAAACCAGACAAGAGTCAGGGAATAAGAGAACCCATTATTCAAAATATATAGGTCAGACCCCCAGGATACAGAGCAGAGTAGAAAAGATAAAGCTGAGGACCTAGAGAAATAGAATTAAGGTATCCATC